CACTATCGAAGAAATATTGAAATTTCTAAAATTCAGAGTTAATTTTGAACATCAGACTTACACTACGTATTTCAGTGTATTTTATACTATTCTTATAAGGAATTTAAAGAAAATAATTGGAGCCTTTTTAAGAAAATTTTGAAAACATTCGGGGAGTTTCATATTAAAGTACCTCCTAAATTTTTAAGAAAATTTTTCAAAATCGCTGAGCCTCGAGTGAACACAGATCGAACAGGGAATATCCAATTTGGAAAATAATCATACGTATGGTTTAGGCGCTAGTGGTATTCAGACAGACGGACTGGCGTTTTGAAAGTAAAACACTTTTTCGATATATTGGAGACCCCAAAACGTGTATTTCCGTCAAAATCTCGATATCGATTATCCGCAGCATTACATAATTTTCTCTGTACTACGTACACCGTATTTACGTATATATACGGGGGAAAATATTTGAGGTACTGTGGTGCATGTAAGTGTAAGTGTGAGTGAGTGAGTAAGGGGTAAAGATAGGAAAAGGAAGAGGAAGGAACGATCACCCATGGAGCGTTTGTTAGGATACAGTCCGTTACTTGCATGGCATTGATCGGAAAAGCACGAAAACTACCGATCAGAACAACCGGCCGCTAGAATTCTGTTTCAAACAGGAACTGAATTCCGCCCAGCCGACTAACTAGTGTCCAAAATCCTACCACCAAAGGGATTCGAATTCTAGGTCCTCCCTGATTGAGGCACTGCAATAATATGAGTTGATGCCTTGAATCACCTTTTCTGGTGTATGCGACTGGAGAGCTAATTATGAGGTACTGATTCATTAGTTATTAATGAAAAAACGTAATAATAAAATTGATTTACAAATTAGATAAAGTTAATTACAATTTTTTAAAAACGGCAATCACGCTGTAATTTAGCTTCAATAAATTCCCAAAATTTCAGGTTAATTGTGTTATACAACCTTGGTTAAAAATTGTGCAAAAATATGCATCGGTTATTACAAGCAACAAGAGGCGTCAAAATCGTTCATCATTTGTTGCCAGTTTCATATCATGATTCTGCAGGCGATCTTTGCTGGTATAATCGATTTGCCTTCCGGCAACAAGCCGGCCAACACCTGGGAGGCAGGACGTGTTGAAGGGTCGTGGACTTTTGGCGCCTTCCGCGCTATGAAACGGCGCGCAAACGTGGGCGAAACGAGGCGGGGCGGGGCAGACGCGAGGCAGACGCTGCGTGACGTCACTCATGCAACATTGATAAAGCGGCCATCGATTAG